GGTTGAACACTCAGAGGACGACAGTCCTCACAAACTTTAAAGTGGCACAAAATAGGGTATGCTTTAAATGTGAACATAGGGAACATAATGTCAGGTTTTCCACAGTCTATATTTGTGCTTGGACCTTCAATCTAAGCAGCTTGCAGGCTTTTAAAATCTAAAAGTCGGTTGAAATCCAGCTGGAGTGGGCTGCAACTGCTGACTTAGATAAATGATCCTGCCATTACCTGATGGGCACCACTGTGCTCAAAAGTGCAGCGGCAACAACAGCAAAGCAGTCATGTGGGAGGAGAGAAAGAGGTCACAGCAGAGCGGGCTCTGCCGAAGTTGGAAATTAAACAGAATAAAGCATATGAAACCCAAAAGGTGAATTTGGTCCTCTGTAACCTGACCATGTGGTGTTGTTTTCCCTCCTAATGTATTTAAAGTGCTTAGCTGTGATGGTAGCAAGTGTTTGAGACCCAGACACGCTGGTTCCAGCAGAAAACGACTAAACGCTCTCGTGTTTCACATCCGCTGCCGTCTGTCCCCACAATTGTGCTGCTGGTCAGTGAGCTGTGGCAAAGTGACGATCCAACTTCTGCTTCACAAAAGGGAGGAAGCTCCCGGAGGTCTTCTCCAAAGCGCCATGACGTCTCGACCCTCCAAAACCCAGAGCTCGCTTTGATTCACAAATGCTTCCTGCTGCGATGGTTAGAGCAGGAAGCAGATCAAAGCACAGCTGGATCAGCAGCAAGGCCACCTGAATGACATGCAGGCAGGTGGACGCAAACAAAATATTAAGCTAATACATGAAACGTATCTGCACTTTATCATCTGTTTGCTGAGACAGGAAACACAAGTTTATCTCAGTACCTGCCATGTTTTTCCACCTACTTCAGGTGAACATCAGTAGAACATTGTTACTGAGCATTATAAAGAAGGTTTGACTTGTTGAAAACATTTAGTTTTCTGTGCTCCTGAATGGTAACGTGAACAGTGACATCAGAAGAGCTATTTTGAAGCAATCATTAAATAGTTACCAGCAGCTTGAGTCACCCTTTAGCAGACTGCGAGATGCTACAAGAAGTCTCAGAAAACCTTAAAATCTCATCACAGCATGATATTTTATAAACACAATGCAACCTTATGCACTTCTATTCTAGTTATTATATTTTAGTAGTCAAAATATTCTTCTACTTATGAAGTCTTGCATTTTCTGATTAGATTGTTGCTGCTTGAATACTTGATCACTTCTTTTGTTTTACTTTTTCATACAGTTCACTATATAATGGAGTAAATGGAATCTCATTGATTTTGATTAGTCACAGGATGATAGTCACTTTTGTGAACTATATTACTTTAACATCGTACTCAAATGATGTAAAGCAAATTAATAGCAAGTTATAATTTCCAGTTATTGCTGTGGAAATTACATTTGCTTTACCTTTTCGCTCAGTCTCACCATTCTAACACCACTGGCATGTGACTGAAACCACGTGAAAGCAGAGCTATAGATGACTCTGAAAAGACTTCAGGGTTGCTTCTTTCAATTTCTGCTAGTAGGAAGCTACAGATCCCACACTTGAGTCTTTGGAGGCAGCTGGTGAAACAAAAAATAAGTACATGAAAAAAGGAGCAGTCTTTCTTCATGCTGAAAACTACTAGTTTTCAGCACCGAGAGGAGGTTTTTGAAATCATCCTTTTCAAAACCTCCACACTTGACATCCCTTTGTCTTTCTTGGGTTTCTGAATAGGTGAGTAAGTATTTCTCAAAATAAGGATTTTCTTGAAGAAATAAAATGCTTGAACTGTTGGGTCAAACTGCTCATATGATCGCACCTGGATTACTTTAACAAAAAATATCAAAATCTACTGCAGTTTTCCACGACTTCTAATTTTAGTCACAAAAGCCAAATAGCATGGCTGAATTATTAAAAATAAAAAAAGAAAATTAGTCACTGACAAATGTATTCTGATTACCAAGACCAAAATGTTAATTAAAAAATGTTTATAAATGTTTAGCCAATAAAAATGTTCATTTTGGCTTGGTTTTTCACAAAGAAAAAGACCATAATGAAATGTATAAAAATTAGTGGTTGTAATGTGAAAAAATGTGAAAACAATCCCATTGTACCGGTACCTTTGCAAGGCACTGTGAATATTCAAGTCTTGGATGGTTGTCAAATTTGTATCATAGCAGTTTAAAAGAGGTGTAGGAAAAAAAGAATTCATGTGAGGTTTCCACCCTGGCAGCTGATGCTGAACATATGCTGCAGCAAGGCCACAGTTGCAGGGCACAAACACAAACAAAAGACCAACTCGGTGACAACCGCAGCAATAATTCAACAGGAAAATGTGTCCCTGTAATTCATGGCAATTTGAGGTGAGGGACCATGATGAAAATGCTCTGCAGCTGCGCTCTATTCCCAGATTAACTTTACTGTAAATCCATCATTGCTCTTGGATCAAATGTATTTGACTGGTTGCATGTTAGAGCTTCACAACCTTTCATTTTGGATTTATTTGTCTGTTTTCAATCCTTTTCAAACAATTATGCCACTGAAGGTGAGTAAAGATTTGCATTTCTCTTTGCTTCAATGCAAAATCCCTAATTATTCCCTGTTTTGTTTCTGAACTTCATTTTTCTCCTTCAGGCCAAGAACTGAACCCAAATTGATCTCCTTCAAAGTTTAGTGGAACAGCCTCCGCTACACCTCCCTGCTACTTGTCGCTGTGTATTTTCCATTGCAAAACAACAACTTTCCAACATTCATCGGGAGCCTTCTGTGCATGCCAAGCTGCTCCCCGAGGTAAAACTGCCCTACTTCTCCCAGTGTCCTCTCCATCCATCTGCCGTACCCGTGGATTGCGTTCGCCTGCAATCGCAGGTTACCTCATCTGTCAAAGCGGCCCTATCAATTTCAGCCAGCAGCCTCAACAGAAGGAATTAACCCTCCAGCGTCATCCTGGCGTCTAGCACTGAGAGACAAACGCCACTGATACCGCCATATCAGATGAGGAGAGCTGACACTAATGTTGTGACTGTTTGTGGTGAGCAGCGTGAATAACAATGAATGCAGAGTAAGAATTAATTAATGTCTCGCTCGTGTGACTCCCTGGCAAGAACAACATGATTATCTACTTTAAGGGGCACAATAAGCTGTATTCAGTTAACTGAAACAGAAACATTTGAATTTAACACAAATTGGTCGTTTTTGTTGCCAATCATGAAGATATAACAAAACCAAATTAAATTCACTTAAACACGTTTAGTTACATTTACTGGCTGATAGTATTGATGTCAAAATAGAAAACATACAAATGCAATGTGACTGAGGCCCCTGGTTGGAGGTCAATCTCATGCTGCTTCAAGCTTTAAAATCTAGATTTTGTGTGCCACTGATGTATCAGCAAGCTGTACGCTGAATATAAACAACTTCAATGGAGATGATGGATAGCTGAAGCCTTCCTGTCTGGAAAACTGTCATGTCACATAACATGAGTAATCTAGTTTGAGAACTTGGTCTTAACAAAACAAAAATAAATGTCAGGAGACCAAAGTAAAGGTAGCTTCACAGGAACTTCTTGTTTCCTGGGGGAATTCCTTTCATGTTTAGCAAATAATACTAATGAAAACCTTTAGGGGATATAGCAAATATTGCTTGTCACCTAAAGAGGCAGGGAAAAAAAAGCTGATTGAATAAATTTGAAAGCTTCAAAACACTCAATCGGGGCCCAACATTATTGCTGAAAAAGAACTAGAAAGTGGAAGTTCAATTCAAATATTCAGTGGCAAATTATTTATTTTTTTCCAGTGACATATTAAATGGCAAAGAGGGTGAGTGAGCTTAAAAAGTACATGCTATAGAGGTGAATATTAATCAAGAAAGATTAATGTCTTGGACTGACACTGAACTAAAACAACGGGACCTGTTTCTCCTCTATTCTCTTTGCTCTCTTTTGCTTCTGCAAATGAACATGAGACTGAATATATAAGTATGTATTGTATATAAACATATAGTTATACAAAGAGAGAATGAGAGAGAACGCATCTGCCACTGAGTCATTGTGTTTTCATGTGTACAGTGACTTTGCTTGAAAAAAACAGCTTATCCTAAAAATATGTTGGCAGTTTAGAAAAGAGGTAAAAACTAAATAAATAAATAAATAAATAAATAAATAAATAAATAAATAAATAAATAAATAAATAAAAGCCCCCACTGTGGGAGTGGAAACGCTGCGTCCTGCGGCAGTTGGACTTGTGTGCGCTGTCCACGGTGCTGAACCGCACGCACAGTCCGACCGGCTGGTCTCCACCTCCGGACACCGATTTCTCACTGCGACTCCGCGACTGCCGTGTAATCCACAAGAGGGTGGTGAATACAGAAGGTGGTGGAGTTGGTGCCTCATGGCGGCCATAGAGCCCACTAACCTCAGACATACACACAAGCATGCAAATAGCTGCGTTTGCTTGCACATGCACGAGCCAATATTTTCCTTAGGATGTCAAGGGAATTTCTCAATAACCCTCCTCCCCTCTCTCTCTCTCTCTCACACACACACACACGCACACCCCCCCCCCCCCCCACACACACACACACACACGCACACACAGCAGTCCATTTGTACAACTTAGAGAGAGTTTATTACGAAGCTTTGTGAATTACAAGGGGATATTTTGGAAGAAAAAAGACAATCTCGCAAACAGACTTAATCGACGCTACTCTCCTGCGTGCACACAATCACAAACGTGCCTTCGGATGTACATTTTTAACTCAATTAAATGTCCAACTGAGAACTCCAGCTGCTCTTCGCTGACCAGGTTACTTTCTGTGAGAAGCGGTAATTGTCCGAAGACTGAGCCACCCTTCATCCAATAAACACCCCACCTTGCCTTTATGTAAGCTGCCGCAAAAATGTAAACTGACTCTTCATGATCGCCGTGCATGCAGCAGATGAAGAATAAACATGAAACAGAACAGATCTAATCTCTTGGGGCTTTTGATGTTATGTCTTACCTGCACCGGCGGATAATGATCCATTATTTGACAATCGGAGAACTCCTTTTTTTTTCTTTCCCCTTCCCAAGGTTTGAGCCTTACAGCCGCTCCCTTTCCATTCCTCCACTAATTCCAGAAGAACCGCAAAACCAGGCGCCCGCCGACCGCATATCGCTCCTTCTCTCGCTCGAGACGAGTTTTTTTCCCTCCCCGCACCAGCAGATGCTGCGTTAAATCTGCGCTTTTTTAGCCGGAAGCCAAGCTGCGACATGGAGCTTCACAGCATTCTTTTTGTAGTAAAAATAACCAGCTCGCTGCAGTTGTCTGTGCATTTCCTCGCCGGCAAAAGTCGCTACATTCGCACAAACAGGTCTCTCCCCCCCTGTCTGCTCTTCGCTTATCGAATCCTCGTCCTCGGAACGGTTGCAATATCCAAAGTAGTTATCCGAACAGAAAGCAGGAATTCTTTCAAAAGGAGACAAAAAAAAAAATCCAAAACAACAAAGTTTATCTTTAATATTTCAGAGGTGACTTGCTCGTCCGGAGAGCGCGTAGATGGAGTATTTAGAGTCTCCTTGGTGGAAAGGCTGCAATAGAAAAGCGAAAAACCCTAGATGGCACAAACACCATGAAGCATCCCGGAGCCCAAAGAGAGGAGAACCAGCAGGGGCGTAAAAGGAGCAGGTCAGCCAGGAGCTCAGCTCCAGTGCACCCACACTATCGTAGGGAAACCAAAAAAACAAAACAAAACAAAAAAAACAAAGTGGGGCGTTGATTGTGCTTAATGAGCTACTTTGGCAACGTCCACAGGGAACAGAACCGTCTGCAGCGGATTAAGGACCTACCTGGGATTACCTTGTGTTTAGCGCCTGTTTAGCCTATCAGAGCTGTTGGCAAGCACGGACTTGTAGTATATGTGTCAGTACGGGCAAATGGGTTTGCGCTGTGTCAGTCCTGTGGTCTATCTGGAAGGCGCAGTTTATGAAATAACCACATACCACAATGACCAAAGGCATTCATGTCCCGTGAGTCATTTCGCTCTTTGTCACACAACAACCACACATTTCAACCAAATTAATATCATTTTAGGGCGACAGAATGTAAAACATGCCTGCAAAGTGAGAGAGAAATAATTCTTTGTTTTTTGGGAGGGTTTTTACAAATAAAAATTTGACTTACATTTTAGATTTTTTTTTCAGGCCCCTGATTTTATAAATTACAGAACTATTGCTCTACATATTCTGAGTTTTGCACTTCAAAAGGAAACAGCTTATGCTCAGACTGATTGGATGGAGATAACGTCTGTTATTAAATCTTACACTAATTTTTATTTGTAATAATAATTAAATACAATAAAGATAACTCATTACAAATGCACGCTACAGTTTTGCTCTTTTATTTGTTTGTTGTGTGCTTGTTTGTTTTTTGTCCTGTTCTGTCCAGTTGTGGTCTACTTTGTGTTTCTCTTCTACATAAATCCTAAGAAATTGCATTATTGTTTGAGGTTATAGTGCAATAAAATCTGACATAGCTTTTGGGTGTGAATACTTTTTTGAGGCTTTACAATATCAGAAACAAACCATGGGAAGTCAAAAGGACACACACACAAACCTTAAGCTAGAACAAAAACTGAACAAATTTAATAATGCATTTAATACTATTAGCTTAGGATCACATTATGTACACATTTCATGCTGCAGCTGTTCATTAGACTTTAATTTAACCCAATTGATCTGTCCAAGAGGACCAAAACCTCACGGTGTACGTTCATATATCATCAAAACCTGGATAGACACAAACCAGAACTGGTTCATTAGGTCCAGTTTTCCTGCAGCTGTCAGCTTTAAAATGATAGTTGTCTTTGGTGAGATGATCTCCATAGCTTTGAAAAGTGAACTATAAAACCTTTAGTGTTACAGTAAATTAAAGTAAGTTTTATTTTAATTCTCACGATGATTTTAATTTCAAATGAGCTTAGATGAATGATAACGATACAACATGCAGGATCATTATTTATTTAATAAGTCCACATAAATTCCTGCTGTAATATTTAGAAAAGAGCTATATGCTGGCAATGAAATCAACTAATTTATTGATTATCACCTGCAGTGTGACCACCTCTATAATAGGTGTTTGTCAATATAGACAAATGTTTTATGCTAACTGTAAAGCACAGTGGAGAAAGAATGATGACTTGGGTTAATTGAGTTTGCTGATTACTTGGGTAGTTAGTTCAGTAAATTGGTTACTTTGTTCACTGACTTGGTACTTGTTCCTTTCAAGAGAGTTGTTTTAATAACCGCAATCATAAACTGATTTCCTACACCTGACATTTAGCTTTTCTTTAAAAAGAGAAAAGAAATTTACAAATACTGCCATTATTGGTGATTGTAGAAACTAACAAATTACAGATGTGACATGCTCTTGTGTTGGTTTTTGTGGCACCTATATGAACTGTCTTCACTGTGTAATAGACTGTCAAGTCAAGTCATCCTGCCACAGTTTACATCCTCTTTTCAAAGAGACTAAGCAAAGCAAAATGCTTCCACACTGACTTTAAAGGAAACTGACAGGCCAGCTCCATTTGTTCACCAGTGACTTCTGACTAAAGGTTTTAGTCTGTGGCAGATTTACACAAATTACAAACTTCATAAAATCTAGGAGCACTTGCACAAAGCTTCAGAAAGACCTGGAAATAGCTGATACACCTATTCCTTTAAAAAAATAAGCAAATAATAACTAGAAGAAAATAGTTTAGAGCCCAAAGCTGGATTGTTTGGAAGTTGCTACACACATTAAGGGTTGGATGTTTTTGCATGTCACCTCAGAGAAACACAATGCCAGAAGTGAAGTTTAATTGGAATTTGCATTACTCCACATGGTACTACCAGATTCCAGCAAACATAAAGGAAAGATGAACTGAGAAAAGAACTGGGACATTCTTCAGAAGAATGCATCCAAATTACCCCCAGTATCTCCAGCATTTGTGGACAGTTTGTGTGAAAGAATAGGTAAAATCACAACTGAGCAATGCATGTGACTATCTTCCTCAGGATGTTGAATGCTTCTTTCCTGTTTCTACCAATACCTTAATTTGATATGATTTTTGTTTATTATTTGTGTGAAGATTTGTGATATTTAAATCAACAGAGTGCAGGCATGATTTGAAACTAGCTGCTCATCTCACCAGTGAAAAGGCTAATGAACCACGTAGTATTCGGCTCTACTGTAATATGTAATTTTTTTTCAAACTCCTTGAGATTTTCGAAATCAGCTGTCAAGCTACGCATAAGTCATTATAATTATTCTTAACAAGGATTTTTTTTTATGGTGCCATAAACAGAGCTGGATTACAAAGGAAAATGTGAAAAGACAAAAAAAAAGAGCTTGAAACTGATACATTTTCTCAAGCTTAAAGGCAAACATGACGATACCATGGAAACAAACATGTTGAAGTAAAAATAAGAGATCATGAGTGCAAAATGTGATATCAGTTTAGAGAAAGAAACTGCCTTCTTTATAACAATTTTATATAGAAGGCAGAGTCTAGAAGCATGAAAATACTGAACATGTTCTTCATGTCACTTTTGGTTTTCAATTATTCTACATCCAAAACTTTATCAAACCATCTTCAAAATAACTGAAGCAAAATGAGAACCTCTTAGTGATTGCTTTGGACCCTGAATTGTTGCCAGAGTAAACATTCATCCACTTTTAAAACAATACAGCAAGTATAACCCAGATAAACATGCATGAACACTCACCCTTATGGTGCATCTGTTCTGTCCTTGTCTGCACTCTGGTGGTGTGTGACCCTGCTCCTGCTGTGCTTTGCAGTATTTTCTTTTTGACCTGTTCTGCAGGGACATGCCACGCTCCAGTTCCAGGCCTATGTGATTTCTGGGCTTTCCAAGAGGGCCTCGATGACCATCTTCCCTCTTGCCATACACCCACAAACAGACATATGAAAAGTCTTGTCAGCTAAGAAATGACAAAATGGCAGCATCTATTTTTAATAGCTTTTGTTGTGGTTAAAAAGCAAAAATCCCTTTATGGGTTTTCATGACACTGATTTTGTGACACAGATAATGCAACCAGACCTATCGCACCACTTATGCTATTGCTTTTAAAGCATTAAAATTAGTTCATTACATAAAAATGAGGGAAATCTGTTGTACCTTCTGGTCCAGATCTAGACATATGGGTTGGCTTCACATTTTTATAGTTTATGATTGTATTTCCAATTCCATTTACATCCCATGAGGCAAATCATTTTGAATTTGGATCACTTAGAGATAAGCAGTTATTTTGTGAGTGTATGCGTGTGCATGCGTGTGTGTTCATGTGTTTACGATGCAGAAAGAGAGAGGGGCATGTGTGTGTTTGTGAGATGGTGAAGGAAAGTAAGAATGGGAGACCAGGGAGATGCATGCATCAAAATTACAATGAATGTTAACACTGAAGTTATCAAATGGCAATACAAGTCACCTATCATCTAGTCAGTGTTACTGTTTAATCCTCCCTGCAGTTGTATTCACTATAGCCACAGAATAATCTCCTGATCCCAGAACAGCTGGCCATTTACATAAAACCTGTCAACAGTGACAACAGAGCTGGTTCCCTCTGCAATGAGCTTTTCCTCACAGGAAATTTAGGAGAGCCTTTGGTCATTCATACTTTAGTTTGAATGACCAGACTCAAACTCTCAAACGATGTTCAAACATCAGCTCAGTGTAGGTTGTCAGCCTCAAACTTTGGTTTTCCATTTGTTGTTTTTGAAGTACATATTTTAATATTCTAATATTGATCAGGTCAAAGGAGGTGTGAAAGTGCAAACAGAGTTTAAATACCACCTTTGAAAAAAACTTTGGAAATATCACTTAAAGGACATATGAGAAGATTTGGGTGCTTGGACAGAACATATACATGTATTAAAGTACAGGCAGTTTAAAGCATTTGTGATCAACAGCTCTGGGTTGCAGTCTAACTCAGCTTGTTCTGCGTCTTCTGCTTTTAGGAGAGGGGATGATGGATGGGAGAGTGAATATCTGAGCTCTGAGACTGACTCTGTGATAAGAAAGAGATCCTGTCTATCAGCGGCTAAATCAGGCACAGGCTTCTCATTAATTAGTGAACGAGAACAGCAGAGAGGAACAGAAGGAGGTGAATGACGCAGTTATGTTGTTGGGGTGATGGAATAAGCTATCAAGCAGTGATCACATGAATGACCCAGTTTTTCAAAGACATCTGTCTTTAATACAGACAGAAAAGCAATGTCACAGAACACATCATGAGCTAAAAGTAATCATTATTTTGTTATTTGATGAAACTTGGATAACATAGGAAGCTGTCATGGTATAGTCCCTTCTGCTTTGCTTTCAGAAAATGTATTAAAATTAAAATCAGCTTTGATTATAAAATATTAGATGAATTGTCTTACATTATTTGTGATGCTATTGATTAAATATTAATAATATCATGCAGTCACACAAGCTAAAAGCAGACAAAAAAACATTTTTGCAAATGTATGTGTGTATTATTGAGATTCTGTAGTGGGTTGATTTATTGCATCTGTAACAAAACAAATAATCTGATTTCTGATAAAATATAATTTATCAGAATGTTACATCAGAATGTAACAGAATTTATCATTTTAACATAATTTATCTGTTTATCTCTCTGTTTGAGATAAATAGAGGATATCATTGATGATACCAGAGGAAAACAAATTTGAAGAGGACACAACAGCTTGAAACTGAAAAGTAAAGGCATGTTTGTGCTGAGGATCTAACTC